TTTCCTCCGTACACGGGGGTCCTCATAGCCCCTCTCATGGGGTCCCCACAGCCCCTCTCATGGGGTCCCCATAGCCCCTCTCATGGGGTCCCCACAGCCCCTCTCATGGGGTCCCCACAGCCCCTCTTGTGGGGTCCCCACAGCCCCTCTCATGGGGTCCCCACAGCCCCTCTCATGGGGTCCCCACAGCCCCTCTCGTGGGGTCCCCATAGCCTCTCTCATGGGGTCCCCATGGCCCCTCTCATGGGGTCCCCACAGCCCCTCTTGTGGGGTCCCCATGGCCCCTCTTGTGGGGTCCCCACAGCCCCTCTCGTGGGGTCCCCATGGCCCCTCTTGTGGGGTCCCCACAGCCCCTCTTGTGGGGTCCCCACAGCCCCTCTCGTGGGGTCCCCACAGCCCCTCTCATGGGGTCTCCATAGCCCCTCTCATGGGGTCCCCATGGTCTCTCTCGTGGGGTCCCCATGGTCCCTCTCATGGGGTCCCCATGGTCCCTCTCGTGGGGTCCCCATAGCCCCTCTCGTGGGGTCCCCACAGCCCCTCTCATGGGGTCCCCACAGCCCCTCTCGTGGGGTCCCCACAGCCCCTCTCATGGGGTCCCCATAGCCCCTCTCATGGGGTCCCCATAGCCCCTCTCGTGGGGTCCCCATAGCCCCTCTCATGGGGTCCCCACAGCCCCTCTCATGGGGTCCCTGGCCCGGGACCCGCTGCCCCAGCCCGGGGAGTGCTTCCAGCGCTGGCAATGCGTCCCTTGGGATGCGGAGCTGGACCCACTCCACCCCATCTCCATCAAGCATTAGATTTAGAGACCCCTCCTGACTTCATCCCTTTCTCCTCTTTGCGGCATTTCCACTTCTACGCTGTCTCTTACTCAATTTCGCTGCCAGAGTTTTATTGCTTTGGTGGCATCTGACTGTAAGGGTTTAACCTGTCCTCATTCTTCTCTCTCCTCCCTTTTTCCCCTCTGGGTTTTCAGCTGGTGGGTAGTTCCTTAGTGAGATCCGTGACACCAAGGTCTGGGCACATCAAACCAGCCTGCAGAGAAAATCAGATTTAGTTACGAAGAATCCCCATTTCTCCCAGCCTGAGGTGTGTTGGCAGGTGATGTTTTACTCACCAGAGTATCCAGAGGAAGAACAAAAGAGCTGCCCACTTCATCTCAGTGGTTTTATTTTTTCAGTGCAGCCGGTCTTATTTCTCCTTTGGGAAAAAAAAAAAAAAAAAAAAAAAAAAAAGAAAAAGACACTCGGCTTTTTGTTCCAAGCAAAGTCTGAAAGCCTTTCAAGTCTGCTTCCCTGGCTTGCCGAACTCTGGCTGATCGACTGTTAGGGAGACGGAGATTGCAGGAGAGGAGGAGCAAAGCTCTTTTGGGGTGTTTTGTTAAGCTTTAAGAGCTTGGGTTCCGCCAGGCACAATTTTAGGTGCACACAGAAGAGACGAGGGCTTGTCTCCTTTAAAGGCAGCTGCTGTCCTTCCAAGCCCGGTGACTTGACAATCTAACTCTGCTCTTTGTGTCCCCTCTTTAAGAAAGCTCCACTCTGTTGCATCTGCAGCCGTTTGTTAGGGTGGATGGGGCGAGTTTTCAGTGGAAATGAAAGGCTGGTGCGTCCGGAGCAGCAGCTAAAGCCAAGCCATTGTCTGCCACATCGGCAGGAGCAGGGGTGCGGGCGCTGTTGGGAGGGGGAAGAGCAGAAATAAACTTTTCAAACTTTTTTCTCAAGCCCCTCCTTCCACAACACTCTGCTCTTCCATGACTTAGTCCCAGAGGAATGTCGGCTCCCATGGAAACCTTTTCTGGGTCCTGTGGTCCGAGGGATGTCGGGGCTGTTATCGCTGGAGCGGCTGTGGCAGGGCAGGTCCAGGGAATGCTCTGGAGATGGTTTGCATTTTTGCAGAGGGTTTATCGGACAGTTTATTCCGTGCCTCCTCTGCGGAGCTGTGCGGGATCAGCTGGCTGCACCCCGCGGACCTCCCGCAGCTGGCACAGAAACACCCGAGCTGCTCTTCACACTGCCTTAGCTCCAGCCCACACCGAAGGAAAAGCTCAGGCAGGACAGCAAAATCACGTCTCACCTGTCTGCACAGGGCTCACCCATGAGCCCGCAGCCCACTGCTCATCCAGGCACTTTTCTTGGTGCTAATTTCAGTGTTTGCTATACTGGATTCAATCTGCAGCCTGGAGAAGCAGCTTCAGCACACGGCTGTGATGGGCCTGGGCTCTTGCTGCTCTATCAACAAGCCCTGTAAGGTCTGAGCATTTCTGAGTTCACACAGAGCTGCTCAGCTCCCAGCACAGGGAATGAGTGGGTTCACACTGTTGTGGTGTAGCCGTGTCTTTGGTGACTCTACGTGGGCACAGGGGGTAGGGAGATTTTTTTCCCCACCATGTTTTACTTGGAGTGTGTAAGTGCATGTGTGTGCTAAAGGGAATTTCACTTCCATCTAATCCTTGTGTGGCTTTCTGAGCCTGCACAGTGTGTGAAAGGGGTCTGTGCAGGTTGCAAGAGCCAGGCTGGCTCCTGCCCAGTCCCCTGCCCTGCTCCCCAGGCACCCAGGGCAGCTGCAGCACATCTGGGTGAGCCAGCACTGAGCATGCAGGGACCCGTTCAGCAGGGAGCTTTATGGGGACTCACACAAACAGTTCTGGCTTCAAATGGAATTTTAGCCTGGGAGTGGCTGCTGAGTAAAGCTCAGAGGGTCCTGCTTTCATAGGGAGGCCAGGGCCAGGTGGTGGGGACCCATCCCTGGTGTTGTGTCTCTGTGGAGGCCACACTTGGTCACTTCATCTGCACCTTGAAAACTGTGGCCCCACTCGGGCTTGGCAGAATCTTTCTTTTTCTGGACCAGCTCTGCCTTTAGTGTCAGTGTGAGGTGGACACTTGGACAAGCAGTGGGCAGAGGGAGGTGGGTGCAGGAGGCCCTGCTGCGGGCCAGGGCGCAGGCAGGAGCTGGGCACGGGTGGGCTTTGCCCAGCCATTGCCCATTCCTGCCTCCATGGCCACACTGGGGGGAGGCAGCAGAGCCCCTGGCCAGGGCTAGCAGGGGTGGCAGCTGGGGTAAGCCCGGTGGCTTCGGGGAGGAGCTGTCGAAGTGGCCAGGCAGAGACTCCTCCCCACACTAACGTGGCATCCCAAAGGGCTTACACAACCCTGGACAGGGCCAGCAGCACCTGGATCACGCTCCACTGTCCATGGAGCCTCTCCTGGAGGCTGCAGCCGCCTCGTCAGTGCCCTCCCCAACCCACCAAGGGTCCCAGGCTGGGGTTCCATGAGAGACCCACAGACCCAGTGGCACACATCTCCTCTGCACATCGCTGCAGGGTATCCTCCCCATCAGGAGCTGATGATTGTGCCACAAGCTTGGGGAGCGTGGTGAGAGTTCCCCAGAGCAGCTGGCTTGGAGCGTGTGGAGGTGCTGAGGGTCAGCCTCAGCCCTCTCTACACCCCCTGGCTTTCTCCTTTGGGGTGTGGCTGCGAAATGCAATGTGCAGCTGGTGCTGAGGGCCATGCTGGAGAGGTGAACCATTGAGAGGGGTTTCTGGGAGCCCCCAGACTCTGTTTATAGAGTGACTGGGAGCTGAAGTCCCCATGTAGGATGCAAGTGGGATCAGATATCTGTGCAGTCCATGGGTGCCCTGTTGTGTGCTCAATCCACAGCATTCAAGAGGGCAGGCCCAAGGAGAGGGTGGTGACCATGGAACTTCTTTTATTCTATATTCAGCAGCCCTTTCTGTGCTGGTTTCCAACATCCTGCAAAATGCTGGTGTCTGCTGATTCCTTTAGGATGCAGAAGGGTCTAACTCCCTGCTTGCTAAAATCTTTTTCCCTGTTTTCTTCTGTCCAAAATCAACCCCTGGCTGCACCCGCCTTGCTGCCCTCTGCCCTCCACGGGGCTCACAAAGCAGTGCCAGGCATTCCCAGTGCAGAGCCCCTCAGGGATCCTCCCAGGTCCCTCCAGCTGGGGGGTGGATGCTGAGCTCGTGGTGTGGCCAGCTCCAAAGAGCATCCTCTTGGATAGCAGGAGCATGGTTGCTCCACAAGGAGGGAGACTTGCACCGTGGACCGCATTATCCTGATGGAGCAACCCTGTGAGCAGGGCTCCTGAGCTGTTATTTCAGGATTTTTGACCACCAGGCATTCAGGAATGACCACTTGCAACCCAGCCAGGGGCTCACAGACACTGCAATGTCCTCGCTGCACAGGCTTTGCCTCCAAAAGGTTGTTGTTCTATAATAAATTTGTGTTACCATCTAAGGCACAAGACAGCCCTGCAGAGCTTGTTTGCTCAGACTTTTCATGTTCCTTCTTCCTCCAAACATAACACTGGCAGCTCCAACTGTCTGCTGGCTCTTAGCAAACCTGTAATTCCCTGACCCCACTTACTGCATGCCCAGACTTTTTGATTCAAGGCTTTTTTAAAGCCTGGGGAAATGATCTAAGACAGCCTTGGTGTGGGGCTGGGTTCCTCTTAGTGCCACCTTCCACATGTGCATGCACTGCCCTCTCCTCCAGGCTGGGCATTGCCCATTGAGCATCACTGAACCTCAGAGCACCTTCCAAAGCAAACAAGACCCTGGGAGAAGCCCAGGAGGAGCCTTTACTAGCCAGGGAATAGCAGCAAGGGAGGAGAATCACCTGTACTTTTCCACCTCCTTCTACAAACAACCCCTCCAGGAGTGAAGAACCAATGATCTTTGCTGGCAAATGCTGTCAGAGCTCACAGAAGCCTCCAGAACAAATCAGGATGAGGGGAAGGGACAGCTCACACCAAGCAGGAGAGGAGGGAGCTGCTCAGCTGCAGCCTCAAGAGAGCAAAAGGGCTCATCACCCGTCCCCACAAGCCCTTCACACCACCACAGCAGCCATCCCCACCACCCCCTCCCTGCCCTCCATTCCCTGACCCCTGTTTTGCACAGATACCCCACTAGAGGCTGGGTGAGGTTGGAAAGAGGATTTTCTCTAATTTTGCTGAATTAGGAAGCAGAGCCCAGCGCGGTTGGTGTCCTGGCAGCACAGCCTTGGTGTGGCTTTACACCCAGAGAGCTGCTGTGCGTGAGGAGGAGATGGCTGCAGGGACATTAGATACCCTGGGAGAGAAGAAGAAACCTTGTCCAACGCTTTCTGTCCCAGCAGGTCTCTCTGTGGCCGGCCCCAGGGCAGGCCGTGGTGCTCTGGACATGCAGGTGGAGCAGGGCAGGCGGAAGGGAAGCCTTGGCAGGGGGACAGGAGGGAGAACGGGGCTGTTTGAGTGTCCCTGCGGGCGGAAGGGAGCGGGCAGCCCGAGCTGTCAGCACGGGGATGCCACTGGCATATTAAGCGGCCAGCTGAGCTCCTCAGCCCGCACACAGAGCGCCTCAGCCCTGCCAAACAGGAACCAGGGGGACAAGGACAGGGCCGTGTCACCAGCTGCGAGCTCCTGGCTCACATCACAGCCCGTGTTCGCTGCACTGCCTCGTCCCACTGAGGCCCAAACTGGGAGGGTGCAGAGGGCTCATCCTTCTGGAGCTCGTCTCCCAACAGGACACAGCCACAAAATGGTTTTGGTTCCTCAAACCCAATGTGGGGACCCTCAGGTCAGACAGGAAAGGGAAAAACAACAATAAACACCCCAACATTTTGGGGTGCTGGGAATGAGGGACTGGTCTCTGATACCCCTAGGGGTGTCTGTGTCCATGGGGGAAGGGATTTTCTAAAGGATTTAATTCTCAAGTGCTCTGTCTCATTGTCTCCCTTCCTTCATCCACTTCCATGTTTCTTCTGACTGATAACTAACATGATGGAGTTTCATTCCTTGTACCTGGCACTCATATCAGGGGATTTTCAACATGAAAAATGTGGGGGGATTGGTGGAAAAAGAAAAGAAGCCTCCGGAGAAGGAAAGAGCCATTTTGACTGTGATTTTCCTAAAAGTATCCAGGAGAGAAACAGACATCTAAACCCCACTGTCTCGTTTTGCAAAATCAAACGGATTTATCTTGGAAACACGATTTGGCCCAAGGTTTTGGCCAGAAAAGCCAGCATGTGGGTCTGTAATACTGAACAGACGAGGCAGGAAATGGAGAGGACGCCCTTCTCAAAGTGTCTGAGTGCTCAGCCTGGAGCCCAGCAGCACACAGTGGCCTCCTTCCTCATCCCTCCTTTTCCTCTGCTTTATTCAAGGTCTGCTGAAAGATGAGGGCCTGGATTTTCTTCCTTCTCTGCCTGGCAGGAAAAGCCCTGGCAGCGCCGGTAAGTGCAGGAGACAGTGAAGCCTCTGCTGTCGGGGCTGTCCAAACGGAGTAGCCGATGGGGATTTTCTTTTGGAACAAATAAAGTACTGAGGAATGAGGGACAACTTGAGGGTGGCCCTACTGCCTGTTCCAGTGGGTCACCCCCCTTGGGACTGTCCCATGGACCCACACTCGTGTGCATTTTCCTCTGCAGCAGGAGGCTCTGCCCGATGAGACCGAGGTCATCGAAGATCCCACCACAGAGGTAGGGGGTTCTGTCCCTCCTCCTCACCCCTCCCCTCAGCACCCACTGCTCTGGAAAGAACATCTGCAAAGCTCTG